ATGTTTGGGGGGAAAAATTCTATTTATGTATCTCAGTAGAGCACATTTTGGAGTCCTTCATGGCAAGAGAGAAATGCTTTATCAAATGCCTTGACATTAACCCTGCGCAGCTGAGACTTGGTGGATATGTTGTGCAATCTCCATTTAACTGTGTAATAATAGGATTAAATGATTAAGGAGTTCTGCAGAACTGTATTCATATGGTAGCTTTTCCAAAAAAAAGTTTTGGGGAAGAAGCAGTGGTTTGTTTTATTTGTAATGTTTATAAATTAGACTGAAACACTTAACTGTGCTGAAGGGGCTGGTCCAGTAGCAGATGACCTACTGACTGTTGGGGTTTTCTATCTTTAGTGTATTAGAAACACTTTAAATAGAGAGGCTTCTCCCTTGGATCATATAGTGGAGTGTCTGTTGCTCACTTGCTCTCTTTAATCCTTCATTCCCTCAAATTAAGAAAAGTTTATAGTCCGTGTTTGTAATCAGACACCGGGATCTTTTGAGTTATAGGTACAGACTTGTTTTGCAGTTGATAAATAATGCAACTTCAAGATGAATACACTGGCAGGCAGGGACCGCATCCAGGCAGACCTGGATAGGTTAGAGAAGTGGGTGGATCTGAACAGGATGCGGTTCAACAAGGACAAGTGCAGGGTGCTGCACCTGGGGAGAGGGAACCAGCATTATGGTTACAGGTTAGGGGCTGACCCTCTCAGCAGCACACAGGCAGAGAGGGATCTTGGAGTCAGGATTGACTCCAGGATGAGTACAAGTCGCCAATGCGACGAAGCAATATGCAGAGCCAACCGCTCCCTGTCCGGCATCAACAGGGGCATCACTAACAGGTCCAGAGAGGTCTTGCTCCCCCTCTATGCGGCGCTGGTCAGGCCGCAGCTGGAGTACTGTGTCCAGTTCTGGGCGCCGCACTTCAAGAGGGACGTGGAGAACCTGGAGAGGGTCCAGAGGAGGCCACTCGTATGGTTGAGGGCCTCCGTGGCCAGCCCTATGAGGAGAGGCTGAGGGACCTGAATCTCTTCAGTCTCCGCAAGAGGAGACTGAGGGGGGATCTTGTGGCTGCCTACAACCTTATCAGGGGCCAGCAGCAGGGACTTGGGGAAAGTCTGTTCACCAGGGCCCCCCTTGGAGTCACCAGGAACAATGGCCACAAGCTGAGGGAGGACAGGTTTAGGTTAGATATTAGGAAGAACTACTTCACGGTAAGGGTGGCCAGAGCCTGGAATAGGCTTCCCAGAGAGGTGGTGCTCTCACCTTCCCTGGAGATCTTCAAGAGGAGACTGGATAGGCACCTGGCTGGGGTCTTATGACCCCCCCCACCACCACCCCCAGTGCTCCTCCATGCCCATGGCAGGGGGTCAGACTAGATGAACTGTCTAGGTCCCTTCTGACTCATTGATTCTGTGATCAATAGTATACTGGATTCAGAAACATCCTTTGGATCATGCCATATTAAATGGGGAAAGCTTGTCTTAAAACTATTGCAGCAAAAGATAGGTCTGATTGTACTTGTAGCAACTTACTATTATTTTTCCTGTTTTAAAAAAAATGTAACTATGTATGGAATCAGAGGAACAGTGTTCTGGTGGAAATTTCAGTGATACTTTGGGGGGAATGCTGTTCAGCACTTTAGAAACCCTGTTCCAGATGCATACCTTGCTGTTAGAGGAACAAATGGCTCCATAACAGCCTTGTTTTGCTTCAAAATCGTATAATAAATTTTGAATTTTGTTTTTATGCAATAGGCTTGACTTCACTAAGATTATAGACATTAAGTTGGAGGAAAACTAAGCCTTAAAACTGTTGTGCAGTCTTTTTATTACCCTGTTGCGTAACCTCTCATTTTATCTCCCTAGTTACCTACTCTCTATCTCTTTTTGCTTCCAGTTAAGAGATCTGCTTTGGTGACACTGGTCTGTTGTTTTTAATTGCCACTTCAAAAATAGTCTCTCTTCATATGAATAAACTGATTTGACACAGTAACTGGCAGCACTGCTAAGGCTGAGATTCAATTTGAAGGACAGGGTTGGGGGCAGAGAAGTTCAGTGGCAATTCCATGTGATTTTGAGTTAGAAACAACTATTATCTAAGGAGATTATATCCTTTTGACACAGCTCTGATGTAACTGAAGGTCAAACTCTGGGTACCACATTGCTAGGAAGACACTAACAAATTGCTGGGAGCTGAGAAATAATTTACCGTTGGAGAGTGGTTTGAAAGAGTAAAAAAGATTGATTAAATGTTGAATGCAGAGATGCTATACAAGTATTTAGTTGGGCAAGGAGTTACAGCCACAAAGAGAGGAAATAGTATGGAAAAATGTAGGTGGAACATGAGGAAAATTGTCTTGAGCAAGATATTAGGCTGTGCAGGATAGTTTCCCAAGATGAAATGGCAGAAGCCCCGCTGTTTAGTAAATACTGCACAGAACAATCTTGCATTAGCAAGGCAATGGACTGGATGATCCACGACAGGGGATAGGCAGGATTTGTGCAGTCATGGGCAAAATCCTTGTGGTGGCTGGGCCGCTGGGAAAAAGCAGCAGTGGTGGAGCACAGGAGCCTGCCTGCCTTTTAGATCAGGATAACTTCTATTTTAGGTGCCTCTGAGAATTTGTGAATGCTCAGTGTTTAAAAATGACTTGTAATATGTAAATACAAACAAGTTATTCTAGGCAGGAAGGAAAGCCAGGTTGCCTGGCTGTGTGTTTCAGAGCAGCTGAATGGGTGAGAAGCTTGTATTTAGCACTAAAGATATCACAAGAATGTGGATGCAAAAAACCATTGCGTTCTTTGAGTCCTGCTAATGACTATGGGTAAACGGGAATCATTGATTCTTTCCAAGTGTTTGTACAAGAAATAGTAAATGAACTCACTCCTACCAGAAAGATGATTCTAAATAATAATTTGGCTCCTAATATAAGACATTTCTTTAAAATTAATTATAATCTTGGAGTTAACTGCTTGAGTCTCTTCCTTAAACTACCAACTTCTCCAAGGTCGTCCTTAATCTTGAGAAAGTGCCCCTGACATCAGCCAATATTGCTTAATGAATAGGTCTTGGTAAGATGTACAAATGTCTTATTTATATCTGACATTTGATTCTTATCCACATCATTCTTGGATTGCTGTTTCCTTTTATACAGTCCCTCAACACTGCTAGGATAATAATCATTGCCAACACTAGTAATGGAATGCAAAGTTGATTGCTCCATTGTTTCCAAGATGCCATGTGAAATGAATACAAAACCACAGCATAGGAGTTAAGACTAACATTACTTTTGTAAAACTGTGGTATACATACTTTGCAAGTAATGCCATCCTAAGGTTACTAAGAAAATTTTGCTTTAAACCATGTATTCCTAGAGGGTTTGAAATAATCTAAAAGTACCAATTCAGTTGGCTTTTTTATAAGGCATATGTTTGTCCTTAAATAAAATAGATCTGTGATACCTTTGGATTATAGAACAGATATTGATAGCAACTTTTAGACTTGGTAAGAAAACAAAATCTATCCAAACCTGTATGTGAATCAGTTTGAACTGGAAACCGTGGAATAAAACCATCCAGAGACTAGACTGTGTTAAGTACAGTTTACATGATGACTTTGGATTCTTATTCCATTACCAAGATTCACTTTTGTGACTCCTTTGTTCCCATGGGTTCTTTGCTTGTTTGCTTCCCCCAGCACTGCCCTTTCTCCCCCCCCGCTGCTTTGTATTCAAATGTGCGTGTCCTTCCACGGTATTTGATAAAGTGAGCTCTGCATCTCTAGATGAGGTCGAGGCCCTCCTCAGAAAATGGCAGTACAGACTAAATTAAACCCAAAATGGGTCTGAATATTTTGGATCCTATGGATTTGTATTTGAAAGCTCTGGGTTTATCTTGGGAACCATATTTTCACACCTAATGGGCTAACATTGCACGGCATCCTGTGCCACCCTTCAAAGGATCTCAAAATACCCTGATTGAGAATCACTGCTTCAGTCTATAAGGTGCAAATCTACCCTGCTTTCTACTTGACTTCAGCTCAACAAAACTAACTACATCTATAGAACAGTCTCCAAAGTTTCCTTCTTAAATCAGAAGGAAAACTTGGTTTTTAAATCTAAACTAGAACCATTTCTTTAAAATTACTCTAGGTAGAAATCTAGGGCAACGAGGAAACAGAATGTAAAACTTGACAGGTTTAATTTCTTTGGTTGTTTCCTGGCTTGCAAGGACACTGCACCTGTAATGCTTCCAGACTAACGTTTCTCAGCCAGTGGTTTTGATCTCTGCCCCGGGGATTGTGAAATCCAGATGGGAATGGGGTAGGATTAATGAAGCACTGAAAAATGTTACCAACCTACAAGCAAAGAACCTCACTCCCTTACTCAGTTCCATACCTTTCCATTCTCCAACTATTTCTCGGCACACACTAAATTGTTACTGCCATAATTATAAAAATAGGAGACTGCAAATACTTTCTGTTTAAATACATGGATACCTACTTGAAAAGCTCAGGAGCCAGTGCCCCAGATATGTGACAAGAGATTGGTTTGCTGCCTGAGTCTCTTACAGCCGTTAGAAATATGCGGGTGCAGTAAAACTATAAACTTGAACCTAACTTTTCCATACCTTCTTGCAGACATGAATAAGAAAAATTTGGGGTAGTTATCATTTTTGTTTCATATCTTGGTAAAGCCACACTTATTAGAAAAAAATAATTGTTTACTGTCAGTTTAATTTGTTTGAGGTGCTTCATTATTTTGGGTTGTGACAAAAACTTGACTTTTTAGAGTGACGCAAGTCGAGTGACCACAAAATAAAACCAGCTTAATTTAAGCATGAGTGGTTTTTAAATGTAATTAGTGCTCTACTTAACGGCCTCTACATTTTAAATAACTTGATAAAAGGGATTTGAATTGGGTTAATGGTCCCAGAGACTGAAGTCCTGCGTATGTCCACAGGGCCCGAATACTTAAAATTCTTGAATGAGGGGGAAAACATGCAAGTCTCCGCACAAGCTGCAAATAATGTTGACAGTAGTGGTAACTTACACTTGTAGTATTTTTGCTTTGTAGGTGTTTGGTAAGTTCAAGACTACAGCAAAAGCAAATTAAAGTAGTCCTCTTCTGCAGTGGTGGTACCTCGTGCAAAAATAAACAAACAGAGGTTTATAAAAGTTATTTGCCAGTTTTATGGGACTTTTTTAAATGAATGCAAGTGACTGAATTGAAAAGGCAGAGTTGAATAACTGTAGCTCAAAACTAATAAGATAAAAATGTGTGTCCAGTTTCTGTTGCATGCTAAATGATTTCCATCTGTTTTTTTTAGGTGTCTTTGTATCCAGTGTGGTTCTGGTCTTGCAGCAGCGAGCACTTTTCAAGTTTTATATGATCACCTCAGCTTTTCTGCTTGCTGCAACTTCAGTATTGGTGAATTATCATGCTTCTTTGCACATAAACTTCTACAGTGCCTACTATACAGCAGCTTCTGGAATTCAGTTCTTTCCTTATAAGGGACCCTCGCTATGGATGGCACTTTCTGTCCTTCAGCTTACCTTTGGAATTGGATATGTTACATTGTTAAATGTGCAGTCCGTATATTCTCAACTAATCATACTCGATATATTGATCCCTATAATAGGATTGATTATTGAATTACCTTTTCATGTCAGACAGATTTTAGTTTTTACTTCAGGCCTGATTCTGACATTATACACCACAGTCATTTTAGCTATGAAAATTAAATGGTTCTATTATTCTGCGCGATATGTTTATCTCCTTGTAAGGCACATGTATCGCATTTATGGATTACAGCTATTGATGGAAGACACATGGAAAAGGATCCGTTTTCCAGCAGTACTGCGTGTCTTCTGGCTAACAAGACTCACAGCACAAGCTGTCGTATTAACGTATGTTGTCAGGATGGCAGAAACTGATACAGAAAAGCAATTTTACCTAATATCTTGGGATAATTGTTGGGAATTAATTTGCAGTCTTATTATAAGTGGGTGTGATTCTACTTTAACTGTCTTAGGCATGAGTGCTGTAATTTCTTCAATCGCCCATTATTTGGGACTTGGTATTTTGGCTTTCATTGGATCAACTGATGAAGATGACAAGAAGCTTGGTTTTGTAGCACCAGTTTTGTTTTTTATTTTGGCTCTGCAGACTGGTTTAAGTGGGCTAAGGCCAGAAGAGAGACTAGTTCGCCTAAGTCGAAACATGTGCCTTTTGTTAACTGCAGTCCTGCATTTTATCCATGGAATGACAGACCCTGTGTTAATGTCTCTCAGTGCCTCCCACGTGTCGTCATTTCGCAGACACTTCCCAGTACTGTTTGTTTCAGCTTGCCTTTTTATCCTTCCAGTCCTACTCAGTTATGTCCTTTGGCACCACTATGCATTAAATACATGGCTTTTTGCAGTTACAGCATTTTGTGTGGAACTCTGCTTAAAAGTAATTGTTTCTATCACTGTTTATGTTCTGTTCATGATTGATGGCTATTATAATGTGCTGTGGGAAAAGCTTGATGATTATGTCTACTATGTCCGTTCAACGGGCAGTATTATTGAGTTTATATTTGGAGTGATCATGTTTGGAAATGGAGCTTATACCATGGTATTTGAATCGGGAAGTAAGATTCGGGCTTGTATGATGTGTTTACATGCATATTTCAACATATATTTGCAAGCAAAGAATGGCTGGAAGACTTTCATAAATCGTAGGACTGCTGTTAAAAAAATTAACTCCCTTCCTGAAGTAAAAGGAAGCCGATTACATGAAATTGATGATGTATGTGCAATCTGCTACCATGAGTTTACTACATCTGCTCGTATTACTCCCTGCAATCATTATTTTCACGCACTCTGTCTTCGGAAATGGCTGTATATTCAAGACACTTGCCCAATGTGCCATCAAAAAGTATATATTGAAGACAAAGAAAATGCAAATATCTCTAATAACAATGGGTTTGTTGCACCTAATGAAAATCCCATACAAATTGCTGAAGAAGCTGCTGATGCTGAAAATGAACTAAATGAAGACAATGACAGTACTGGAAGTGAGGAGGAGGAGGAGGAGGATGATAATGAATGCTTGACACAACACCTGAATGAAACTCTAAATGTTGACTCTGATTCACTCGGTGATTAAAATGTCACTTAAAAATCCAGTGTCAGGCTGTTTGTTTAAAATTCAGTTCAACAGAATAAAACTATCATTTATCCTTGTATACTTAAGCACAACAACAGTATCTCAAAACATTGAGTCTGTGAATGGTGGTTGTTTACTGTGGTGTGCTACTGTAAATATACCTCTAATGACTGCTGGTCTCTTTCGTGACCACCTTAAACTTGTGTACATTATTGTACATGGAATAAAATGTTTTCACATGTTTTTAAAACAAAGTTGGACAAAAACTTTTTAATTGTGATAGTGACATATGCAGACCATCAGCTGTGCCAAAGACTGCAAGCTAGTAAATGCCCAAGTAGAGACTGGTGGGGGAAGGGCGGGAGCATATAAATAAGTCACTGTGTGGACCTGGTAGGTATAAGCAGAGGTGAACAACTCTGAACAACTTGTTGACAGCTCTCTTCTTAAATGTGTAGGTAAAATAGCCATAAATTGCAGAGCTGTTTAAAAACTGAAGTTTAGGTTGGTAGAGGATTAAATATAGGAACAGCACTTACATATGTAAAACAGAATGAAATCGCTGTGCTTTCTGCTTGTTTAAGCAGTAAGATGTATGGCTGACAAGTGTTAAGCCATTTTACCTTTGAGCCCCAGTAAGATATTGAGAAAGTATTGCACATTCAGTAGACTTCCTTAAAGTTAAGTCTGAAATAGCACTGGAAAAGATGACCATACAGGCCAGCTAGCACAGACTACCGTTGCGAGGGAAACGGCAGAGAAGCTGCCTGAACAGAATACAGACCAAAGTGTTTTAGGTTTAGGTGTTTATTCCTGCAGCTCTTAACGACAGGTTATCTCAGCATCTCAAGGAAAAAATAAGTGCTAAATACTATACCCCTGGATGACATGCTTAAGATCTTGTAGATTTGACTACTGAAACCTCACAGCAATTTTCTTTTGACTTGACAAAGTATGCAAAATGCATGTAAGATAAAATTAGCTTTACATACTTGAAAAGAAGACTTTAATAGCATTGTTGTATAAGGTGTTTGCCAATTCAAGTGGGTCTTCTTCTCTTACTGTTGCCATTATCTCCAGTACTTGACTAAAAAGAGAAAGATTTCATATTTTGAGTAATATTAGCACTGTTTAGAGCATGTACATAATTAACTCTTCCAATCATTTAGAGTAATTTAGTTACTAAGAAACCAAGAAGGGAAGGATACTTCTAGTGAAAGGTTTCATCGTTACTTCTGTTAAACCCCTTAAAGTTGCCCCCTGCTGCTCAGTGGTGTAGACTCATGTTTTGGCTTGAATTTTACTTGAGCAGGGAATAATTAAACAGTCTTACATCCCAATGAAAATGTGATTCTGTTGATCGTCCTTCTAAATGACCTTACTCTGTGTGTGACAGTTCTACCAACCTCCCTTTTGGGATAAGTGAAGTATACCCCCTGTGGAAGTAAATAATTTATGTTGAGTATAGATGATTCACTGGCTCAGACCGTTCATTCCTGTTTGTGATCCAAACTGAAGTTTTAGTAGAAATACCTTCAAAGAGCAGTATTGCTGCTCATACATTTATCCTGTGATTACAAGCTGTAGCTATAAAAAGAAATCTAACTAACTCTTAGAGACCCAACCTTCACTAGCTGAACTACGCCATTAAAGGCCTGTAGCCTGACCATGTTTTTTGGCAGTATCTCACCCTTCTACATTTATGGCCATAACTTTGTCTCTTAAATAGTTAAGGCATCTTAATTTTCACTTATCACACTTCAGCTTAAGTAAAGTTAAAGCTACATTGAAGTAGCCAATTTAATATTTGGTCTTTACCAGCTTACAGCTGACTAATATACAGGATGTAAGTTCTCTGAATGCTATATGATGATATTAAAGGGCCAATGACTTCAAAGCCACAGTTTAAGCCAAGTCTTGTACCTCTTGTTACAATGAAATGACTACTATTACTGAAAATAAATGTTTCTTCTAATATCTGCTTCAGCTATAATTAAAGTGCATCTGTTTCTTATAGTACTCTGGATGGAAGCTCATGCTGTCCCCCAGGATCTGTAAATAGGGGGTTTAACAGTAAAAAACACAAAGGTGCAACAGCAGAGCATCTGCATGCAGCCAAGGAAAGGTGGGCCCTACAAGACAGCATGCACAGGGAGCAGAAGAGATCTTTACAAATTACATGCATAATGATACATAACTGTCATAAAAAAACATTTCAGCCAGTCAGAAATCACTGATATTCCCTGAAGGTTTCATGCTGCTTTGATGTTCTTTTTTTATTCAAAATGTAAAATACATGAAGTTCAGAGACTCCTATAGAACAGCAGCTGGAAACCTTTTTTTCAGGCCACAGACTGGAATGACTTGAGTCAGGTTGGGGAAAGCCAAGTGCTAGGTAGGACCTATCCATGGCTGCTTCTGCCCGTGGTGATATGGGGAAAGTACCTGTTGCCAAAGCCTGTGTCTACAGACCCTAGGTTACCCCAACCTCCACTATAAACTGTTACTATTCATAGTTTCT